TTATTCATTCTTTGAAGGAACGGTGGCTGAATACTTTTTCTGTGGTAATATATCGGCACTCTTTGGAAACATGGGCGAGATACCACCAGCCTGATGCTAAGGGAGCCCACCAATGAGGACAGCTGGCAAGAGGCCCCAGCATCCTGAGTAGCTCAGAGAGGTCTGGGGATGTGAGGCCAAGAAAGGCCTTCTGAGGGGCCTTCTTGACAGTCCCTGGAGGGAGCAGGGATCAGCCAAGTGGAGGCTGAAGGCAATGGATATGGTAGCTTCTGGGGATAGACAGTGGGAAAAGCATGGATAGAACATTTTAAAGCAGTAGAGAAGATGGAAATTGGATGAACCACTCTATGTGGTCATGTGTATTGGTCTACACAAGTCCCAGAATGATCTAGAAAGTTAAGAGCAGCTACAAGATCTAGAACTTTCTTGGCATCAGTCTTTCAAGTTCTTCTGTAAAGTTAGCACCTTTTTGTGAAGTGTCAGTGAGCTGTAGCTGGGTCAAAAAACCAAACAAACAAACAGCAAAACCTGCCTGGAATGCCCCAAAGCATGTTCTAGCTACATCATGCAAAGTCCCAGGCCTGCAGCCATAGGCATACCTATGGGCCTCTTCAAAATTCCCCCTGCATCAATCCCTTGAGTAGACATCAAGACCACAGATGCACTGTGGGAGGACCAAACACCACAGAAGAGCGTTCCTGCCACTGCCCACCAGGGCCACAGGAGAAGCTGTCTGCGAGAGTAGAGGGCTTAAAGATGTGTGTGTGTGTGTGTGTGTGTGTGTGTGTGTGAGAGAGAGAGAGAGAGGGGGGGGCGGAGGGACAGAAGGGAGGGAGAGAGGGAGAGAGAAAGAGAGAGACAGACAGACAGACAGAGAGAGAGAGAGAGGGAGGGAGAGAGAGAGAGAGAGAGAGAGAGAGAGAGAGAGAGAGAGAGAGAGAGAGAGAGAGGAAGAGAAATGGTTCTCCAAACACAGTGGTCCTGGGGGGGCCCTCATCCAGCTTTGCCCTTTCTGGAGGATGGATCCTGGGGACTCGTCGCACTAACTGGCTGTGGTGGGTTGGATTCTGAGCTGGGAGATAGTGAATCTATGTGAGGATGGTGGTGGCTGCGGCTTAGGAGGAAAGCTGACCTGTCTGGAAATGGGCACCAGAGCAGTGTCGGCATAGCTTATGTCCTAAGGACCTTGTGTGATTCTTTGACACCGCAATTACATGCCCATATTCTGCCTTCTAGAGACCTTTGCTAAATAAAGTGAAGCCATAACATGAGACAGTTTCAAAGCCAGGCCTGGATCTGGACTTCCAAGGATTGAGACACCTAGGTGGCTGCAGCACAGCCTCAGGATCTCCTGCCCTGGATGTATGATTCAGGGGCAGCTACAGAGCAATGGGAGCTAACCTACAGCCAGAGAGTATGGAGGGCTTTCCTTGGAGCTTTTCTTTGTGGCTTTTGCTGCCTCTTAGCCACATGGCCCCTCCTTGCCTGCTGTCTACTGCAGCTCAGTGTTTCCTGCTGTATTGACACAGGAACTCTTGCTACTTCCCTTACTTAATTAGGGTGCTAAGAGACTGCTGCACACTCAATGTAATGACGGAGTAAGTAAATTTCCCCTGTTAATCTGCACATTTATCATAGTTGCCTCCCTAAATCGACAGTGACTGGCAAAGTCTAAAGTAACTCTCCAGTTTATAGCTGGGAGACAAAATTCAGACAAATGAACCACTGATGCCCAGTGACATGAAAACCTCCTTACAGAACTGTCGGCGCTAGGCCGAATCGGGGCTCTAAGAGGTGGGACCAGTCCAGCGCCATCTGGACGTCCAACTGTGAAGTGCTTCTTGGAGTTAATACTAGCCCACCTGTCTCCTGGAGTGACTGAATTACCTATCTCCTTACCACAGCTCTAATTTTTCTGTGTTAACTCTGTCACCTTACTTATTAATTTAGGGTCTATTCGCCCTCTGAAGCACAGACTTCAGGCAGAACATCTTGACCACTGTTGAATCTCCCTTACTTAGAACATCTAGAGAGTTATATGTACCCCACCTACAAGTGTATGAATAAGGTAACAAATGAATAAGAAAGTAAGTCTGGACCGACTGACTGTATCTGCACTGTGCTTAACTGAGCCTCAGACATGATTGTATTTTCAAGTGAGCCTTTTGAAGATCTGGTTAAGAGGAGGTGAATCCTCATCCTGTGTGTTCTTAGCTAGAAAGCAGACAGGGACACAATGAGGAAGAGGAAAGTCCTGACACTTACCATACAGAGAGACAATTGGTGGAGACTGTGTGTGGCGACAACAGAAGCAGAAGCCAGTCTGAAAGCCAAGGGGGAAGACCCCTAGAAGAATCCATCACAAAATACTTCCCTGTCTCCAGAATGAAAAGGATATCAACTTGAATCATTTGAGGCTTGCCCGTGTTAACTTCTCTGGCAGCCAGGTTAACAAGCACAGAAGTGACAGCCCAGTCTGTGGACATCTCAGCAGAATCCACATCCAGAGTGCAACTGCCTAATGGCTGGCCAGATATTGCTCCCACCTGCTGGCCAGGTGCAAACTTTCCATAGGAGATGAGAAGGGGCGTTAGGGCAAGGTAGGCATCCTCCATTTATCTCCTACACATATCCCATTGTCTATGGGATCCAGAGGAACTGGGCTTATTGCTTGCATGTGTTTTTTTATATGCTTGATCCTGTTTAATCTGAACAACAGCCTTCATGGTCATCATCTCCATTACCATCCAGACAGGGGGCTGAGTTGAGTTAGGGGTGGAGAACTGGTCTGGTAATTTGGGGAGGGGCCCTGGAAAGTTTGGAGGGGCATTCAGGTGTGGCCTAATGGGTCAGAGACTGCTGCAATAGTTATCCTGGGTAGGGTACTGACATGGGACATTATTTTCCATTCAGGAGCTGACCCCACCCTTGGCCCCTTGCCTCCTCCCTTTTGGAGAAGGGAAGAGCATGTTCTCTCTCTACCTGGGAGCCAATTGTACTGGTTTCATTGAGAAGGTGAGAGTAGCAGCCAGGTTCACCAGCCCCTAGGACCTAGTTGAGTACTTGGGTATAGAGTAAGGACACAAAGGGCAAAATGATGAAGAATTGTAACAGGATAATTAGCCACAGAATACTGCAAAGTGGATCCTTTGGATCAGGACTCCTCCAGTGCCCTACAAAAGGCCCTGCTAGAGACCACTACAGCAAAAACCTAGCAGAGGGAGCAGAAGAGAGAATCCCTTGTGCCTCTAAGTCTGTGCGGTAGGCCTTCGTGGACAGCTGGTCACCCTTGTGTGAAGAGCCAGACCAGCCCATCTTGGGCCTGTATGCCTATCTCCATTCTCAGGATGCTCAATGGCATTTCCTCTTTTGTGTAGTACTGGGAGTTCTTGCTTCATTATTCAGAAAGTCTTTAGGCTGATGCTCAACCTAGTTAGCCACATTAACATATTTAAATCACAATTAATTGGAAAATTACAGTAAGGTGTGAGGTGGGAGTCATTCTTTCAAATGAGGATCTTAACTTGCTGATGAAACCCAGTCATTTGTTTCTTCCCAGGAAGTCTTCAAACCCCCAGCTGGCACGTGTGTCCTGGCACGTGTATGCCTGCTGTGAGCTGGTGAGGTGCCCCTCTCTACCCCACCCTTACATGGCCCAGAGAACCCAGGTTGGCCCAGCAGGAAGGGCACGGGAGCTCTAGAAAGTGGGGCCCTGACCCCTATGCCCACCAGCGCCAGATTCCCTGGGGGAGAGATCTCCAGGTGTCAGCGTAGTAATAGGAGTGACCTCAAAGTGGGCATTCTAGATACAGTGGACACTCCTGCTTCAGCTCATCAGAGACTGGCTTTGTTCAGCTGGACCATTAAAGGTCCTTGCCACCATAATGTGACTTTCCCCCAGAGAAAGACACTGAGCAGGAGTTCAGCTGTGCAGTTTCCACGGCACTGAGATCTCATTTGGATGCCGGATGTAGAGTGCATGGAGAGAGCCCAGAGAGGTCTCCCAACTGTGACTGGCCTCTAGGAAGGTCTTTGAGAATCTGGGCAACTACCTGGTTAATCTTCTGTTTCTTCCTTGTCCTGACCAGAGAGGGCAGCCAGTGCATGAGAGGTAGGGTGATCAAATTTTCACCCTCTTCCACTGTTTCTCCAAAGCATAGGAGATGCATCATGAACTCACACACCAGCTTCCTTGTGGCAACTACCACTATAGCAGATGGAGTGACTCTGGGTACACATGGATGTCCAGGTCCTATTGCTTATGGGGCACAGTGAGCATGATGCTGACTCTGTAGACTGGGAAAGTAAAACCCCCTTTAGGATGAAAAGTGCCTTGGTTCTGTCCCAGTGTGGGCCACCTGAGTTCCCTAGACTGACACCTGACACCACTGGCTGGGTGCTCTCAGAGCTACTGGGCTGCAGGACTCAGGGACAGGCCACTGTCTCATCACTGCCACAGGAGGCACTTAGTAAATGTTTGCAAGATGCATGGCAGTCAGAACTGAGTGTAGAGAAAGAAGGCATGAGCCCTCAGTGGATGCAGGAGGCTGGGGCCTGTGAAGTGAGGAGTGGGGGTGCCATATTCTGCTCTAACCGGCCCTCACATTTTCCCTGGGCCTCACCTACCTGGACCCTTTGCTTTCCACATGTGACAAGGACTACGGGAGAGGCACTGAGGGCTTTTTCTGTAATGTGAGGCTGCATTACCAGGCCTCTGCTGATGATAGTAAGGTGCTTAGAAGGTAAGCAGTGATGGGAGTCAGATGCCCCCGGGAACTGCCTGCAATGGGAGTGTGGGGATTCATTTCCTCTCTTGCAAGTAGGGTTGATAAGTAGCAGGCATTTGTTTTCCCGGATTTTCTGAGTCGCCTTGTGAGTTTGTTTCCGACTGAAGCATCCATGCCTCATTGCATAGCCGAAGGTCCGCTGGCATTTCTAGATATTTAACGCCTGCACAATTAGCCAATCATGTTATGTAATGTGTTCTTTAATGCCCCATTTATCTCGTAACTGAACATTTGCGCTTTCTGTTGGAGAGCATTGAGTTTCACTTTTAAAAATTCCATTTGGAAGTGGAAACAACACTTCAGTTTTCGAATGGGGTTCGAGTGGGGGTGGGGGGAGCAAGAGGAAGCTCCAAAAGGGTGTATAGCTCCAGGCCCATCTCAGCTGCCTTTGCCCTCCTGCTGCTGCCTGCCATGTTTCTGCGCTCGTTTCCATGCAACCTGCTTTAGAGCTTAGGGAAGGGGTAGTGGTGGGCAGGCAGCCTGAGGAAGGACACGGGGCAGGAAAGTTGATCGGGATTCAGTCCAGGCAGCAGGAGTTCAGAGAAAGCCACCGCAGGATGCTGCCTCCAACAATGTGCACCTAGGAGCCCTCGGTTCCTCTTCACTTCCAGCGGTCCTTCACTCTGGCCGCCTGCCTTCCCTCACCCCTTCGTCCTAGCAGGGTAGGATTTTGACAAGAGGGAGGTCTGACCCTCTTAGCGAGCCCTTGTCTTCTGCAACCTCTGCTCTCTGCAAACCATTGGCTCCCGGCTTTCCGCATGCAGGACCGCCAACCGAGTGCTCCAGCACTGCCCCAGCGTATTCTCTGATGAGCCCGTCTTGGTGCTGAGTGAAAAGGAAAAAATCAATAGTGAACTTGGGGCTCCCTGTGCCCACAAGGCCCAGAAGCTGCCTTCTCAGCCGACTGTCTTCCGGGCAGAGCCACCTGTGGGGAGAAGTGAAAGATACATGAACTAATGAAACCTCCTGCGGTGTCAACCTGCCTGTGTGTACATCCTCCTTTGAGTGTGTCCTGCGTTTTAGTTTGGACATCTTCGTGCATGCCTGTTTATTATATAATTGTAGATGCATGGTTGTGAGTCGTTGTGTGTGTGTGTGTGTGTGTGTGTGTGTGCTCTTTAATGCAGGTGGGCTCATGTACAACTGTACAACTGAACATGTGTGTACATCTGCATCCAAGTGCAGTTTATAGGAGTGTGCAGGACTGCCTCTGTGTGCAGAGCTAATCTGAGTGTTGGGGAGTATGTCTGGATGTATGTGAACAGAAACTGCCTGTGTGCACACATATTGCTGTGTGTGCTGTGCACATTCCCATGCATAAATGTAGATTGCAAGCAAGTCACTGTGTGAGCAAGGGGCTGAGGTAGGAGCTGCCAACTCGTTATCTGCATTAACCACATATCTGCCTGTCTGCCTCTTCATGTGCCCTTGCTCCCCTCAGCATCCGTGATAATGCTATAGGAACTGCCACACTTGGTAGAACAGATGCGGGCCCAGAGCAGTGAAGGTTCTGTACCAGTCAGTGACCCCCTACGTCACAGGAGAGATAAGACAATGGGGCTTGCCTGAAGCTATGACTAAGTACTGCCTACCTGGACAGAACTTCCTGCTCTATAGTCACAGCATTTCTGTCACCGGCTATGCAGCTCATTGCTGATGGACATCAAAATAAGAAGCCACACCCAGCAGTAGAGTCTGATTGCCTAGAAATCCAAAGTTCCTGCTGGATGTCAGCCCCGGGAATGTCCACTTCCTAGTATCCATGATATTCCCTTAAGATCTCTCAGCACACTCTCTACATTTGAGCTAGCTTGCACAGGCAGATCTTTCTGGAAACCCCCAAATATCTGACTTAGCAAAGAGCTTGTGCCCGGTCATCCTGACCAGAAGACTGGGGCATTCCTGGGCCTCCACCCAAGTGTCCAGTCTTCCTGTCTCCTATCATGGTTTCCATCTCATCCTGAGCATTCTTGGTTCTCAGGGATCTCCAGGAAGAATACACTTCATGGGGGGATGGGACTGAAGCAGAAGAACTCCATGAGTACACATGCGATCCCCAGAACACAGTACACATGATTGTATCCAGGTGTAGACAGACTTGAATGACATAGTGAATGAACACCATTAGTCTCTTCCTTTAGTTTCTCTTATACTATGCACTTCTCCAAATATCCAGCATGGTATAAGGCTTCCCTGCATATATCTAAGAACACACATACCTAAACACACATATACATGCAAACATACAAACACATAACAACACAGATACACAAACACATAGCCGCATACCTACACACACACACACACACACACACACACACACACACACACACACACACACACACATCCTACACTGAAATACTCTGGCTTAAGCCTGGCAGCCAACAAGATCATTATCTCAGGAGAAATTCCATTGCCTATAAAAATTGCAGAGGATTGAGAAAAGCAGTTGGTGGGCTCCCTGTGCTTGGCGATGGTTCAAGTGGAGCAGGCAAGCTTGCCTAACGGAATACAGAAAGGCCTGGGGTACCTCCCTCAGTGTGATCCTGGTTCGTGGAGCACAAGCAGCTGTGCTTCTACACTGTAGCACTAAGCTTGCATTCACCTGGCTGTTACTGTGCTGTCTTCCCAAACCTGTCATTCTTCTGCAGGCCAAGTGACTTTCCCAGAGATGCTGTAAGAAAAGATCACAAACAGGATGAAAAAATTTATTAGGTCTAATGCCTGGAATTCACAGTCTGAAACAATGTCAATGTTCACATTGTCTCTAGAGGGTCTGGAAGAGAGTCCTTCCAGCCTTCCTCCCAGAATCCTGTGTCACTTAGCATCCTTCATATCTGCCGCCATCTTTAAATAGCCTTGTCCTAGTATGTATCTCTATGGCCAAATCTCCCTTTATTAATAAGAACACCAGTGACATTGGATTAGGCCCCACCTATTCATCATTCCAGGGTGGGCTTCTTTTAACTTTGTGTCATCTGCAAAGACTCCATTTCCAGAGAAGGATACATCTACATTCCAGGTTTGTGCAGATTGGCAAACACCAAAAAAACCCGTATAAGAACAGAAAATCAACTTTGAAAGAGAGGCACTCTGGAAAGTCATTTGAAATCAGAGACCACATAGGACTGCTAGGTTGACATGAAAAGTGAGGGCTGATAAAGGCCCAGCTTGGGACCATCAGCCTGTGAGGGGATAGGATGAGTCTGTAGTGATCTGCACACAGGCTAACTTCCTTATTGTCCCTGGAGTGAGTGGGGACCATGGCAGGGCAGGATCTGGTCTGCCTCCTCTGGTTTCAGCAGCACATGCTCTCTCAGAATGTCTATATCACAGACTAAAACACTCTAGCATCTCCCAAGCCTCTGGAGACTTGTAGTGTGGACCTGTTTTAGAGCCACCAAGATGCCATTTGCTCTTAGAGTGGATACTCCCAAGGTAGTTAGGTGAGACAATGGCTGCAGTTGGCAAGCTAGTAGGCCACTTCAGTCTGGCAATATGGCAGGAAGTTTAACAGTCAGGAAAGCATGTGGGAGCATCACATCCCACTGCTCATCAAGCAGCCTGTTCACTGTCATGCCTTCAGAACACATTCCTTCGTTTCCTGGACTCACTTCCAAGAGCCGCATCTCTGCCATCTCTGCCATCCTCACACTCATGTTCTTTTGCTGTAGTTATGGGCATGGTTTGCCCAGTGTTGACTGAAGAAATGCCAAATATTTAAACGTTCCACTTCCCCGTTTTGTATTACACTAAATTTTCTTGTTCCTCTCAATTATATGTGACAGGGACAATAACTCCCTCCAGATGTCCAAATCAGAACAGGTGACCCTAATTTCAAGGAAATCCAGTTTGATGTGATGTATTTCCTCTTAACTCACTCAGAGTTTGCACAGTCTTTGGAAATTACATTTCATCACAGCTAAGCATGACATGTTCTTCTGAGAGTGAAGGAGAGAATATGTACAGAACCTGTTCATTTCTAATAACACATGTACCAAACATTTCAAGGAAACCAGTGAAAGGAGTGAATTTACATCAGGCACCCTCATGTTCACATTTTTGACATGTTTGAGAAGACAACTTGTACATGAAATGGGCTTTGACTACTGTACTTCACTGCTTGTTCAAATCATGGCCAAGACCAACTGAGTTAATCTTACAGACATCAATAGTTCACACAGTCTAATGGTGTTTGTCCCAGGGCCATCATATCATTCACCATTTTGGGTAAGTCTCTTCCTTTTTTTCAAGCAGTGCTGAGGGCTCAGAATTGAGACTAAGGAGCATGGAAGGAAGGTGTCAAGAGACCATTTTAAACTAAATGTTTTTATTAGTCACCTTCAAGTGTTATTCTCTTACCGTGGATATTTCTGCAACAGATCACAGCCAAGTAAAGGGCATCTTTTGACAGGTTTTCTTCTTCCTCCAGATTAACAAAGTCTGAGGACCTGGAAGCAGCTGGGATGCAGGGTTTTTTGCTGAACCCAAACGTATACTGGCTTGAACCTTCTACTGTTTGTACTCTTTGGGAGAGATGGAATTCTCAGTAGGACCATGGTAGCTGAGCAATGTCTCTCTAAGCAGTGGAACTTCTATGTGTGACAGATCTGTAACTTGCCCTGGTTAGGCAAATGCGGACAAAGTGTGTAATGAAATATTGAAGTATAACCCACCCACATTCTGGAAGGTTTAACTGAGGAGAGAGGACCCACCATGAATGTAGGAGGCATCATTCCATGGGCTAGGTCCTGAACTGAAACCAAAGCAAGCTGAGTACCATCATACATCTCTTCCTGCTTCCTGACTACAGACACTGTGTTACCAAGCCACTTCATGGTCCCACTATCATGTTTTTTGGCACAAGGGAACAGTGCCTTCAAGCTACAAGTCAAGCTAAACACTCCCTTTTCTGCACTCGGGAGGCAGAGGCAGGCGGATCTCTGTGAGTTCGAGGCTGGGCTGGACTGAGAGCCTCCATAACAATACAGAGAAACCCTGCCTCGTAAAAACAAAACAAAACAAAAAGAGCAAATTCCAGACATCATTTCATGTCTACATATTTCACAGTGAATCTCTAAAAGAATGCCAGCATTTTTCCTCCCATAAACACAGTTGTGATAAAGAAAAATTTTAATGTATCATAAACATGATTGACAAATAGAGAAATTAGGTCTCTGGCATGTGTTTTGGGAGTTGTGGCCCAGCCCCCAGCTCAGATTCAGACACATCACCTCTTGGTTTACACCATATAACAGCTGCCACAAGATCTCATTGTGGAGGCCAGGAGCCACAATCTCCCCTACCATCCATTCCTTGCCATGGTCAACTCTGCCTTCCCAAACTCTGAGCCAAGATAAACCCTTCCTTCCTTAGTTGTTTCTGTCAGGTGCCCTGTCACAAAGTAGAGAAAAGTAACTGATATGACCCCATACCGGCCACTGCCCAGAGCTCTACACTCTTCCTCAGGAAACCTCACTGGCAGACTTGGTGTCTCTCTTGGAGTGCAGTCACCAGGTAATTGTCTTTGCCTGGAGGCTGGTGGCTGCAAGAGATGAGGTGTGACATAGTTAGAGAAACAGTCTCTCATTCATTCTTGTGTCGCGTCTGCTGCGCGGCCTGTGTCCGAGAACGTGCGGAGGGTGTCGGGGATTGACAACACAGAGACTCAATGATGTAAAGAAAACTTTAAGCAGGCCCCAAAAAGGTTCAAGAAAACTTCCTAAGAAAGGCTCCCACCAGAGAAGCTTCTGCTCTCTCCTCTCCCCTGGCTGGTTCTGCTCTGACCCCAGAAACTGATCTGGGCGTGGCAGAAGAGGTGGTTAGTCTTTGGACAAGGTCGAGGTCAGGGTGGTTTCTGTGGGCAGGCCTTTTCCAGGAACTTAATGCCCCCAGGCATTGTATTGTTTTTAGTAAACATGTTTTTAGTAAACATTGTCTTACAGCTGCCTACTCCCAGGCAGAAGGGGAAGTGGGTCTCTGCTCAAGGTCTGGTGTTCCCACATTCTTGGAGGGATTTTTCTTTCCTCTTTCCTTCCCCACACCAGACAAAGCCTTTGTTGGAGGGTATGTACACTTTCCCATAATTTTCTTATAATATCTGGGGGATGACCATTCAGTGGAGGGAAAGCAACAAAAGGGGACAATATTTTGCCCACTAAGCAATCCCAAAGTCTTGGTATTTCTTCATACTTGGACAAGAACTCAGAGTAGGAGAGACCAGCCCAGTGACTTGAAGAAGTAACTCCATATCCAACCCTCTAGCCTCCAAAGTCTTTAGTGACTCAGACCCCACCTTTATCTAGCTTATATGGCCTCCTGCAAATGTAGCAGCATTCAGTTCTGCCTTAGCAACTCCTCTTTCATAGTTAGACTGTAATTAAATACGTCCAGGAACACATTCTGAAATAGAGTGACTGAATGAGATTTAGGTACACACATATACAATGTGACAACTGTATTCTCAGAATTAACTTTTAGAGAAAAGTTATTTACCATCCTATGCATATGCATGGCTGGGATACACCATGGGAAAGGACATATTCAGTGAATAGATGCTCATATTACCTAAATATGTCAATCAAAACATTGAACCCCTCATATTCTGCTCCTAGTAGCTGACTCCTCCTCTTCCAAGATCCATACAAGAAAGCCCCAGTAGTAACTCAGAGTTCTTAAGAAATCTCCCTAGAGTCTGCTGCTCCTCTGAGGGCATCTACTTGGTATTGTTTCTTCCTAGTTTGAATAAATCCTTTCACAGTCAAATATGAATGCTTCTTATTGTTCGATTATGTTGCCAGGAACCTGGAACCCTGACCCATCACAGATACCCTCCATAACACAAGCAAAATTCCTTTTCCTCACCTGAGGGTGAAGGCAAATGATCTGGTTTAACTGGTGAATATTCAACTCATTCAACTACAACAGAGGTGCAGATTTCAGTCAACTCCATTGTCAACACATGACAGGGTACCAAGTGAGAAGCAGTCCATACAGACAATCAGAAACCCATAGATCTATCAGTCAATGACAGGACAAATTCCCGTGGCTGTTTGTACCATTACAGCCGGTCTTCCCAAATGCGTTCGCACTCTCATACCTTCCTGCATGTACTTGGAGTGCATGGAGGATAAGTAATGGTGTCTTTCGACATCTCTCTTCTGGAATTGACAGGCTCTAGGCATTTAATCAAGTACATAGGGCAAGGTGGACATCCTGGACCATGTAATGGAGGAGCCTGTTGTGCCTGGTTATTACAGATCACATGTAACTGTGTGTAAAATCCCCCGCTGTTCAGAGATTCTTATACTAAGCAGGTTAATTAAACCTTAATTTGAATCTCCCAGCTTATATGGGTCTGGCCTTAAAATTATCCCACCCAATTCTCTGTCTATGTATGCATTAGTGGGGGAGGGAGAGGTAAGGTAACGCATTTTATATGTCTGAGTCATTAAATTGGCTTAATCTAATTAGCAGGCTGTGAAACAGTTGAAGAGGTTTGATGGACACACCACCTTAGGAATAGTCGATGTGTTTTAAAATATTATTTTCCTTTGCAAAACACCAGCTGTAATGTTTTAGGTATGATAACAATTCATGGAAAAATTAAATTAGCCAACATGACCTAGAAATCCCATTCACACACATTCATGGTAGGCACACAGAATTCGCTGGGGCTCCAGGACCCCTAAATTTGTGAGACAATGGTCAACTTCAATCTGGCTTTGAGGCATTCAGCCAACTTTCTGACTCAAAGTGTCTGGGTATGTGTAAACTTTCAAATGTTCAGCAAAAAACAGCCCCAGAATTCATCTCCTAGCTCTATCACATGCGTGTGCATATGTGTGTGCACACACAGACACACACATACACCACCACCACCAGCACCACCACCACTGTAATGCTCCTGGAACATCCCTATCAATGTTTACTCGCCTTTCCACCTTTACAATTATAAACATAAATCAATCTGTTGTCTCTGATGAGCCCCTTGGGAAATTGTCAGTCTCAGTTTAGGACTAAAAGGTATTGCATGAGAGATTTCCAAATAGAACATGTATTTGTCCTGTGTCATGGCTTGCTACAGGCTGCAGGCACTGACCTGATATAAGCTCAGATGGTTTCCCCATGCCAGATCCCCTAGGTAAGTAGGTAGGAATGTACCCAGTGGGTAGGGAACTCAGCAGTCCCCACTCTACCCTGCTCCCTGAGTGCACCACAGGAAAGTCTGAGCAAAGCCATGCATAGGCCGATGCTATGGCTCAGCAGCCTCACCAGCTAGAAATAAAATAAGAACATCCTTTGAGTCTTGTCACACTGAAGCGTTGTGGTAGTTGAACTTGAGAAAAAAAGGTACATGTTAAGAGTGGAACTCCATTTTCAACTCACTGCAGGAGGCTGTGTGAGAAAATGGTCTCGAAAGAGGCAATCAATATTTTGTATAGCAGACACAGTGTGCTGTTAAATGGTCCGGGCTTCAGATGTTTTTAAAGTGCAGAGGAGGGGCTGCAAGGACAGACTAGAAGTAGCCAGTGGAAGTGGCTCTCTTTGTGAGCAGGGATCTGAAGGAAGGCACAGAACAGCGGCCGCATGCCTAGCATCCTACTGAGATAATCACATGGGCATCTCTCACTTAGAACAAGTTGGAAACTGGGTATGGTGGTACAACCATGTAATCTCAGCACTTGGCAAGGGGACACAGGAGGATTGGGATTTCAAGGTCATCCATGGCTACATAGTTTTCAAGTTCAAGGTCAGCCTGAGCTACATATGACCTTGTCTCAAAAGAACTAAAGCAGCTAACAAACCAATGAAAACAAACAAAAACAAATATGGCTTAGCTGCAGTCAAACATCTGAGTGGAAGTAGCTTCAGGACCATGTCAGGTATGGCCCAAGAGGAGAGGGTGCTCTCTTGATGAGGACTGGTTCCTTAGCTTGGCAAGGTGACTTGGAAGGGTAGTCACAGCCATGGTACTCTGTGGGAGTTTCAGGAAGCCCTGCCCAGATGTCTCTTATTAAATAGCAGGCCTCTAGAGTAGAATCCTGGCAAAGATAGACCCTGAAGCCAGTCTTCCTATCTTAGACAAGTCATGTAGCTTCCCTTCTCAAAGGTAAGAAAGGAATGATAGTATTTCTTACTCCCCAGAGATGAACTCCCTTGTGGCATGCCCAATTTTCCATGTGGGCAGCACAGTAAACTTCTTACAGGATGAGTTAAGATGCCTGTGGGGTTCTGCAAAGAATGAAACCAGTAAGAGATTTCTAGACATGTAACAACCACAATTAATTAAAAATCAGACTCATGGTGAGGCTGAGGTATTTTTGGCATGTTGCACTGTGAAACTCCACTGAAGACTTAGTTCTGAACACCGGCACGGACGCTTCACACTAAAGGCCATCTCACAACACAATACCATCAAGCACCACTTGAAACATTTGGCTCATTGGGGAAACAGAATTGCAATAGTCACTTTTCCCCTTGCTTTAATAAAATATCCTGACCAAAGCAACTTGAAGGAAGAGTTTACTTTGATGCACAGTTCAAAGGAGCACAGTCCATCATAGTGGGGAGATCACAGGGGCTGGAGCTTGAGGAAGCTGATCAAACTGTGTCCAG